GTGAGGAAATTCTGTCTTTTTTAAAGACAAAAATTTTTGAGGCGAAATACCCAAAAAGAAGTTTGTAAAAAAATAAAACATGGGATTTGCACAGGGATCCATAGTTCAGAACAAACCCACTGCTGTTTCATGGATCTTAGTGTGGTGTTAATGGAAGAACAACCTGCAGAACCACTGATGCGATCAATATCAGCATCAGAAGGCGGATGACAATGAAAACGGTGGATCGTATATATGTACAAATGCTGGATGATTGAAGAAGACCCAAACTGTTTGTAGCTCGATTAACGAGCTGAAAGGTAGACGCTGGATGCAGAGATCTTTTGGCTGGAAACAATGGAAAAGGGGACCGGTTTTCGGCCGGGAGCCAACTGAACGCGAAGAAGGAGAAAAAGAGGAAAGAGCCCCAGAACCAGAGCAACCACCTGGCGTTTACCTGGTTACCCCCCTGTTGGTGGCAGGGCCACACGCCCACCGGATTATTGAGGTTGTCGGGCGCACTCACCCCATCTAAGCACGAACCCGAATCGGGATTGGCGATCTGGAAAGACAGAGCAGAAAGTCAACAACAGCGAAAAAACAATTACCTGATTGCCGCCTTGTCTGTGGCATGGATAGAGGCCGAGTGGTTTGTGCATGTCGCTCTTGCGGGCCGGCGAGTCCAAACATGTCTTGCCTCCATAGCCTAGATTGCGGATCTAAAGGGAAACATTTGTTGTTAATCCAGGTAGAATATAATGGAAATTGACGGTGCGTTTGATGAATGGCATCGGGCCTGATGTGCTTTCGATTGCTGCACACACTGGCCCTATTTTCTTCTTTCTTTTTTATTTGGGAGGACCTGGCTGTGTTTACTATTGTATTTCACTTCGTCATCGTCCTCCCTTGTTCCCTTTGACTCGAAAAATATTCCAAAACTATTTTTTTTGCTGTAAAACCCGCTTGTTTAAGATTTGCTGGACATCAAAGATTAAAGCCCCCTTCAGCAGATCTAAACCATTTCGACACGCTAACGTAAATAGACTCTTTCCGCTCTTTTAAAACTAGAGTAGCTATCTTACAAGCAATAAAGCAATCGCTATCTGACACGTACAAAACTTGGAGAAAGACGTTCCGGTTCGCAGGACGTCTGAAAACTTGGAACACATCCAGTATACCTCGCACGAAATCTGATATTCTTTGGATTTTCGTTCGGTAAATTTCATCTGCTGATATATTCGTTTCGAATATGGCGAGTGCATCTGTCCGTTTCGCAAGGAAAATCAGTGCGAAACTGGATTTCCCGGTAGTCAACGCAGATATCTTTTTGCACCGTTTCAACTTAAAACACTCGATCCGACAGGGAAAAAGATAAAGAAGTTGGAATACTTGATTCGGGCAATTGATAGTTTCAGGCACCGGAAAACTTCTAATCTGTTTTACGTGTTGACTTTTACGGGAGTTTCCCAAAACAGCAGCTTGTCGAAAACTTTCCGGACAAATATTTTCGATTCGAATTCGGTGCGGACGTATTTTTTCGCGTTATAAAAAACGACTCCCGAATGAATGGGATAAATATTACCTCGCCATTGGCCACAGCGTCTCCCGGTATGAACAGTTCCGGGTATATGTTATCCAGATACCACTGAAAGTTTTTGCAGCCCAAGTTCTCTCGTAGCGACACTCTTCCACTAATGTCCCCAAAATCGCCTTTATCGTTACCTAAAATTGACGCAACAGCATGCATCTCGCATTAGCGCAAAATACCTCATTTGCAACTCACCGATTCTTTGGTAATAATATTTAGCATAATCGTCCAGCCACACTTCAGCCAATCGAACCGAGTTTCTTCGCAGTACGTTCACGCCTTTCCTCCACTTGTATGGCGATCGTTTCCTGAAGATGTGGCCCACATGAGAACAAGGCACAATCTCCAAAGTGCCACCGCACATCCATGTTTTGAACGAAAGTTCCAGATTTTCACCGCCCCAAATGTCGAAACCGTCATCGTACGTGCCAAGTTTTTCGAAAAATTCCTGAAACAAAGAGAGAACTTTCAAACATTTTTTTTACACATACAGAATGATTCAGAACTGGAGCGAAACTGATCGAAGCTTACTTATTGCAAAAAATAGATGCAAAGTTCGAAATGTGCTAATCTCAGGCACGCCCAGGATTGGGTTCGACACGATCAGCTCTCATCAGCTGTGTTTAGTTTGAAAATAATTACTGTTTTTTTCTTCCCTGGGTTTCAGTACGAATGTGAAATGAAAATGTTCATATAACGTTTCGGCGAGACAACAGCGCCATCATCAGATTTAAAATTCAAAACATACCCATAATTGGGAAACATTAGATTCTTTTTGGCCAACCAAGCCAAGGCTCCGAAACGTTATATGAACATTTTCATTTCACGTTCGTACTGAAAGTCGGGTAAGAAAAAATCTAAAAACAATTACACGCAGTCAGGAAAATACATCTGAAAATTATGCATTATTGTCGATATTTTCAGGGTAAAGCCACCTAATGAGACCGAATAGACCCGAAACCAGTCCTGGTGGTGCTTGAGAATAACTTTTTTTCACACTTGATTCATTTATTTCTGGATTCCTTGCAAAATTGCAACGAAACACCGAACAATTTCCATTCAATCGCCCTTGCAACATATTTTGATATGTAATCCCTTCGGAATTGTTTTTTCCGCATTTCAACAGCTAAAAGCGCCGTAAGCCCTAGTTGCGAATTAACTTTCGGACATCAATGCAGCCAACTTTGGCTTTAAACAAAGTAGCCTATTTTGTAGCGCATAAATTTGAAACTTTCCCCATTTCGAAAAGTTTTTTGTTCGAATGGCTCTTGTCATGAATTGTACGTGCTACGTGTTTAGTGTCGTTCTCGGTTCTTTAATAAACGAGATTTTATGTTATGAGGGTTGGCGTGACTTTAATGGACAATTGCCGCATAAACCCAAAGTTCTGCAAAATGCAAACAGCTCGAACAGCCTCAGATGACAACCATTGAACCTTTTCGGTAATCGAGTTTATTGATTAATTATCACGTCCTCACGCAAAGAATTCGAAAAACTGAGGATTTTTCCTCGCGGAAACACGCTTTTCTTGGACGTTGATCTCCACAAATTTCGCATTTTGAATGAAACTTAACGCCCCATTTTTCAACTTACAACCAGACCTTTAGCAAACGTATCACAAAAGAATCCGTTTGCACAACCCTAATAAAACACTGTACAAGTTTCGTCCCCATCAAACCTCATTTGCAAACCGGCAAATTCTGAATAAATCATAAAAATATTGTCAATTGGCATTCGTCTAATGCGATTAAAATAATCGGTAAACGCCATCTTCAAGACAGTTAACCATCCGAGAAGGAGAAAAAACTGTGGAAAACAGATAATGTGATTTAAATACCCCTGCTGTATCCACAAGCAAATTGTTTTTATCAATTAATTGGGCGGAGCGAGCGGTGGCCTTTCCACGAAAGAAGCACCTTTTGTTGTCCCATTAGGCGTATTAAAAATTACTCTGATTCGGGAAAACCGCATTTATTCGACCACTTTGAAAATTAGTCACGATACAGTAAAAACCGAGACAGCTCATTGTTTATGCAAAAAAGAAGAAACAAAATGAAAACACGCCAAACCGCGCCTCTTCCATTATGGGCAAGAATTTCTAGAGATTGTGTTTTGTACGCTCCCTGCATTCCTGTCGAGTGGAGATATGCATTATCTAATGAAACTGGGATATCTTAATAAAGCTAATAGCTGTAGCTTCCTCTGAGCCTGAGGTCACAGTTAGATGCGGGTTGGTTCCCGGGTATTTGTATTCAGCAACGTGTTTACGCTAATTTGGCAGTATACGTGAATGGGAAAACAGTGCACTGAAGATTTCATTATCCGGATTATTAAAGTGGGAACGAATGTTAGTCCTTTAAAACCCAACACTTTTACATAATTTACTTAACTACTTATTGTATTAAAAACTTTTTCTCCGGGCGTCCGAAACTCGATCGACAAGGGCAGCAATAAATTGGCCGTAAAATCGCAAAAAAATTGAAAATGGATCCTTCTAGATAAACAGCAAAGTGCACGGTATAGTCAGTTTAGTTTATATTTTTCTTAAACTGTTTCTTCCTCCTCTCAACACATTGCATATATTAACGATCCTCGAACTAATCTGGAGAAACAAACCGACACATATTCATATCCATAAATTCGAATCATATGCATTATCAGTCCTGTCGCAGTAAACTATTGTGCAGGAACAAATTTTGATAAATGAAAGGCAGGGCTAAATTGCACGTAGAAACCCGTGCTGGGTTTAGCCGCATGGGGAGCCTGCTATGTTTGATGCAGTAGTTTTATCTTGCATATGAAACAGTCTACACACACAATGCAAAATTATCCACCGCAGGAAAAACTTTGTACAGTCGACTCAGTAATTTGATATTTAAACGGTTATGTAAATACGACGCGCATAAGTGAATGTTCCAAATGTGAATGCTCCCTCTGGCTAAATGAGAATAAAGTGCGAACTGTTTATTCTCCTACCGACTTACCAGGGTTAGGAGTTTTACTATTATTATACATGCGGATTTACATAATCCGCCCATATGTATTCATAGTCTACATGTTTCAAAATTTTAGAGAAATGTACACACATATTTTCCTGCTGGCATGTTTCGAAGTAATGGATTTAGGTGTTCCAATTGTGGGTTTTGCTGCTTATTCTTTGTTAGTCGTTTGAGCAACAAAGTTTATCAATTATTTTCCAACCTGCTCTAAGTGGCACCCGAGCAGACAACCAGTCCATTTCTCCCTGTTATCGTCGTTTTTTCTTCAAGTTTTTTTATACAATGTGAATTTTATCAGGTTTATTTTTTAATTGTTCCGAACGCTTGAACTAGAAAGCTTGAAAAAATCGCAATTTCCAAGTCGTGGGCCTGAAAGTTCGAGAAAATTAAATTTCGCGTTTATTCTGCGCGGTTGAAAATAAGAGTAATCCGAGAAAGGCTGCGCTCTTTAACGGCTGCTCAAACTTAAGAAAAAACTTTCCTTATTGAGTCTCACTTTTTTCGCAATCGCTATATCGAAATGCTTGAATACAAAAGTTGGCAAATTTTTCAGACAAAAATTAAAAGTTAATCCAACGATTGCAATATTCTGTGCAAAAAAATCATTTTTGGAAAAGTTTTGCTCCAAAACCGTCTCCAGTTAACGCTGGATAATGTCCAAACATTTGCTAGATAATAGCAAATTGAGAGCGAAAATATTTAGAACCAAATTACATCACAATGTGGGTGAAAAGCGAAATAATACTTACAAACACGGAAAGAACGAGGGCCGAAATCACTTTTACAAGAAAATGCTGTAATTTTATTTTTATCGTTTTTTTCGAAAACACACTGCACAATTGAAAAAATGCACCTAAAACCGGAGAGAAACGCGTACAGACTCTTATGCTAAGAAAATTTAACGAAAAACGCATTTGCAAATCGCCAAAACTCTAAAGTAGATAGAACATCGTTGGTCATTATGATCGTCTCAATACACTTGAGATCCCATCGACGTCCTGATTATTAGACAACCGATCTTCAGTCGGACTTTTTAACGAAATAATCCATTCAGCAGATGGCAACCAAGGCAGGTAATTGTACAGACAAAGTTGAAAATACCGTAGAAATTATTGTCACAGACAAATATTAACCAGTTCGGGAACAAATGGTCTTGCTGCTGATGTTTTTCACTTTTAGGTTTCGGAGGAATGAAAAATTAAGCTAACTAAAACAGTGTTAAAATGTAAAAGTGAAAAACATCAACAGTAAAAAAATATATCCGATAGTATCATTTCCCATCTGGTTTGATCATATATGAATCCCTAGAAAGTTGGGCGCAAAAATGCGAAAAATTAATGGCCCCATCAATAGGTCAATAGAGTGTCCGGAATTCCTTCTTAAATCGTTTAATTGTAAAGCCACAGATTCATTAAATGTTCTGTATTAATGATGGATTTTTCGCGGAAATTGTTCCCGGTTTTCAGCCAGTAGCTACACATGAAAAGTTAATTTATTTAGGCGAAACGATAAAAGGCCAATCGGGAATCTGTCGCTAACAAACGAGCATCATACCGGGAATAGCTACGTTTTAAAAGCGGCACATAACTCATGTTTTTAATAAAGTTGATCCATAAATTTAAAATCGTCGCCTGGGAGAAAAACAAATGGGCTCACCTGCCCTGGCAGTTGTATTACAGCATCTGTGTGCCGAAACTTTAAAAACCCCCAACTCCCATGCTCTATTGCGACATTAGATCGTGGCAAGTATGGTTTTATTGGTCTAAACCAAGGCGGGCTCACCCTATTTATGCTGAAAAGACCGCCGGCCATTGTGGGGCTCCACACCGGTTCCGCAGTGTTCGAGTGCCGTTTCTTCTCATGCTGGGGCACAGCGTGCCAGTTGAACTGCAGGTTCCAATCGAACCCGCCCACATTCACCCCGGCACTATCATGGTAGATGTAGGCCAGGCTGGTGTCGTCGATCACATCAATCACCGGACAAACCACGGTGGTTGAGTTGCGGGCGATTCGATCTAGAAGCGGTTCCAACCAGCCAGTGGTACACTCGCAATGCGAGTCCAGGTAGGTGAGAACCTCGCCTGAWGCATGCTCGTAACCTGCAACAAGCATTACAGTAACAGCGCAAACAGCTACACGAATTTTCCAAATCGAAACCGATCCAAACGGTCTCGTAAGCATSGAAAACTGTTCCGAAGTGAGCTGAATAAGTGGGATAAAACRCGTTGGAATACAGGCATTAATTTATTTGTTTTGCAATCTCTGKTCTGGAATAGTTTGATTTAGTATTTTTCGAAAAATCGCCGTTTGTCTGACAGTAACTGCTTTCTAAAAAGGCCCCAAAGAAATGATACCCATTATGAATCACCCAGTGTTTACACCTGTACAATTTTTTTTGTTCTGTTCCCCTAAACGCGAGCGCGGTATATTTCAATTTCCGCTAATACAAATGCTGATTTATTTTTATTATTCACCGTAACACATAGAGAAAGGCGGAAAGCCGCTGTAATTTTCCCGGATTAAAAAATGCCTTCGTGTGTGTGTGTGTGTGTGCAGCAGATACATGTAAAATCATTATTACTGTGATATAAGCCAGCGACGGTCACGCACGAGTAAATAATGAAACTTCATAAATTCTAAACGGCGTGTCATACACACAGAAATTATGTACGGAGTGTGTTTCACGGTTTGAATACATATTATTGGTAATATCTGTGAATTTAAATGAACGCCGTGCGCCTCGCCTTGTCTCTAGGACACTTCTGAACAAAATTAAAATAAAAAAATTGAAGGCATAAAAATATCGATTACCTAGTAGTCTAGCTCTGATCAGCCCGATCCTTTTGGGAGCTCGAATAATCTTCACTTTCGGCTCATTCGACCAATAGTCTTCCAGCTGCTTCTTCAGATGGTCCATGTCGGAAAAATCGTCCACCAAAACGACTTCGTGCAGCAGTTCGGGGGGCGATCGATCGATCACTGAATGCACTGTTCTTAACAGAACTGACCAGGCTTCGTTGTGGAAACAAATTACGACCGATGATTTAGGCAAGTTTTTCTGATAGCGGCCTGGTTCCTTGCACCTGAAAAAACGAACCCAATTTGAAAATAGCAAAAAAGTACCACTGAAACAGGCTGCGATGCAAACTGCAATTTTATGTGAAAATGTGCAGATTTTCTTTTTTTTTCAGTCACTTTTTTTACTAAAAGTAGAAAGTTTGAAACGTATACATTCGCCTTTGTAGAGCCTTTTTGGCACGTTATTTTACGCACACTTTCTATATTGTTTCAAATTGTTGTTTCCAAAATTGCATATTCCGAACAAGAAACAACCGTTGATTGATCAGCGCATTAATTGCGATTAGATAAAAAATAACACACAAAAGAATAGAAAAATATGGATTCTCGAAGACAGACAAGCGAAAGAGCATTAAGTTGCAAAAATAAAATATTGAAAAGTTGTCGCAGTAAAATGTGAAAAAATCATTCAATTGATCAAGTTTAATTTTTTATTGATTGATTTGTTTGCTGTTTTTACATATTTTCAACGACCTCTTATTGAACTGTAAGTTTAATCAAATGAAACGCTTTTTAAGGAATAGTTGAGCCTTCTGGTTGGCTAAAATCAGTGTTTGCAAACGATTCGAGCGTTCTCAATAAACACCAAGGATCACTTCAACGAATTTTAATTTATAGATAAACTAATCTAATTTATATCTAAAGATAAGAAAGCGCTAAAATTAATGTTTTTCACAGCACAATTTCCGCTATTTTTAGAATTTGCAATTAAGGAAACCGTAGAAGTTTGCAGCCTTTTTACTCGAAAACGATGCGTCGACTAAAAATTGCAAATCCATTTTCTCTTGTTGTTATTTTGTTGTTATTTTAGGAAAAACCCAGTGGGGTCAAAATCAATTTTTTTAGCGTAAATTCATAGGAATTTAAAAAGGCGTCGCCTACTCAAACACTGTGCTTTTTAAAAGGGCGTCAAACAGTAGGAACGCAAATTCTCCACTGTGCTACGCAATGAAAAAATGATTAAAATTTTATCAATTAACCAAGAATTTTAGAAAACTGTTAACTAAAGCTAACTACACAGTAGTTTCACCTTCAATAGCAAATTACTAATAAATTCTAGAAAAAATGCCATTAAACAAACCACGTTGTAAAACTCATTTCCAATTAACCACAAGGACCGAACACTTTTGAACGCCATTGTCGTTATTATTTGCATTTGCATCGTTACTCCGTTATTAATTAAGTCAAGCATCCCTCACGGTTTTTTTTTGTTCGATTTCTACCAGACCAGAGGGAATGCAAAGTACCAGACCCTCAACGGGGCCGAATAAAACATGATGATTGATACATTCATCCCATTTTACTCAAAATATTGAAATCGCACAGCTCGTTTGGGTTTGTTTCGAGAAATAACTCAGGAAATTGATTAGGTATGTTCGCAGTGGATGAGCAGGAAATATGGCCAACAAATTGCCAGTGAAATAAGGCCCAGATTCGGCAAATCCTGCTATAAAGTATATTAATCTTAATCGCCCAGCGAATTATCGATAATTACTTGTTTCAGCAGAACTGCTAGTCGTTAATTGGTGCAATTCGAAGTGCGGATTAACGCAGCAGAAGTTCGGAATCATCATCATTAAAGGAAAAACAGGGAATTTGCATTTAAATTAAATTGCAGTCAATCATTTGGACATCGAAGGACAAACAGTGCCTTCGCCTAAATACAGTTGAATAATTCCAATTCTTTACAAATCCATAGTTATTTTCCTGTAGTTTCCTCCAATTCCCGCCACATTGGAATTTTTCTTCAGGTCAGCCTTTTTATCTTAAATAATACTACTTTCCTCGCTTTCGAGCTGAGAATGCATAAAACAATGCAATTCCGTGGCATCATTCCAAATACTCCAAAACCCTAAGGATGCATTGCATATTCCATGTTTGCATTATGCTTTTTACTGTTTTGGAAAGCCCTATACCCTGAAGAAATTACGCTTGATCTTTTTAAAGTGTTGTCGTACATTTGGTTGATACAAGAGGATGGCAGAAAATGCCATTTTTTGTTAGTTTTCGGTAGAATTTCGCTTTTTTCATTCGGATGAGCAAGCTTCTTAACTCAACCAGTCGAGTTAAAAATTTAACAGGTAAAATGCAACTACAACTTAAATGAGTGAGAGTGTCAATGTCGCAAAAGCGAATTAATATAAAACTGTGATACCATTTTATGCGATTTTTCGCGTACAAAAGTGTGCATATTTGACGAAAATTATATATTAAAAATTGCACGGTTTAACTTTCTTCACAGTCAAATCCAGTTCCCTTTTAGTATCCAGCACCGAGTTTCAAAGAAAAAAACTCCAAACAAAACATACTTTTCTCCAAGAAAACATTCAAAATAAATCCTCATTTCAATCTCATTACACGCCGCTAATCAGTCTGACATGATCTTTGATAATTTTCGCACAACTTCTCGTTTCAATTAAAAGTTTAAGCAGCAAACTCACACCGACGACGCGAATCATAATAAAATAAGAAAGCAAAACAAGAAAATATCTAAGCAGCGAAATTAATGCGATTTTATAGGAAGGCAAAGCCGTGGCAAATCCCCTTTGAGCCCGCCGTTTGGAAACTTTGCGCAAATTCTATATTTTAGCATTTATATCGAATTGGGGAATCTTTTTTGCACCCCCAGCGTACACTTTTGTTGATTCGGGCCATTAAAAGCCGAAAAAATTAAAGTTCGCTTTTGTTTCCCTCGAAAACTTTACGAAAACTTTTGGGGAGTATGGCCAGAATGGTGGGCGGATTGAGCGCTGTTCAATAATTTCCTAGACTGTAAATAACTGAATAGTTTTGGACTGCAACTGCACTGATTCTGCATGTATCAATCATCAAACTGTGCTTGTAGAATGTTTCCCGAAATCTGTTTAATTTAACTTTGGAAGTTAGGAATGAGGCCATGTTTACTAAACCACAAAATCGCGTTCTGCTTTGAGTTGATTATATTGCAAAGGCATTTAGAACGGTATGATGTCTGGTATTTTTCCAGAACAAACACGCAACAGGAAAAATGAGGCTTCAGTTTCACGAAATAAAGCCCCAGAAGCTTCCAATCCCATAAAGCACCACCCACCGACATACTCAGGTTTCCAGTTTAATTGAATTAAGTCACAAGTGAATAAAAGGTTGATGTAGCAAAAATGCGCGCAAGCGATAATCCAATTAAAAAAGTACATCAGGATTAAAGGAGGAAAGCGAAGGCTTGCCTTGCAGTGAAAACAACCGAAATGTTCATCGAATTAATCGTTTTAGCAAGCGAAAATTCATTGGCAAACACATTCTAATTACGCGGAATTGATCAGGATTTGGTGTAGCCTAAGGACAAAAATGTACCCAACAAGTCCTTTAAACAGGGCGTTTCAAGAGGCGACAGAAGTCTAAACGACTTCCTACCTTACAGATAGTTCAATTTCGGCTTGAACCAGCCTGTATGAAAAATCATTGCAAATTTTTGCAGTGACAAATTTACTAATCCTAACTATAAAAATCTGGGAGCTCAGCTGGTGTTAAGATAAGATAAAACCGTTCGCAATCAGACCAGATAGTACGAACTCATTACATCCAAGGTGCTACTTGTTTTAAAATTAATTTAGTAAAACTCAAGTGAAGTAAATCATCATCGCGCCAAACAATTACTCAAAATGTGCGAACTAATTAATTAGCCAACATCAGAACATTCTGAAACAAAACCCGGACATCAAAAGTTTTTGAACGTTTGAAGGAAACTTGCTAAAATTTGTCTTGTTTCCGGTAAAAGTACGAATATACTTGGGACAGCTGTAAATTACGGCGGCGCTCTTCCCCCCGGTTGGGGCCCGTCAGTCCAATTAAAAAGCCAAATAAACCTTGTCGTTGTTGCGCAAAGAACTTGCACAACCCCACATAAATCGCTTCGGAGTGTTTGGAATTTTTCGATAACTGAAAGCTTTGAAAACTTGATCGATTCATCAACAAATTTAATAGATTTAGCGTTGAAAGATGTTGTTGCAGCCCGGAGGCAATTTCCTTTGATGTCGGTGCCTTTTAATTAGAGCTTAGGCACTAAGATTTTTTTAATGGCCGAGTTTTCTTGACGGCATGGTAATCGTCAAGACCGGTCTATCCGACCGAATTTTTTCCTCAAGTTTAATTAAATGTGATCTTTGAACGGGAATTTTCAGGTTCGAAAAACCTCAAAGAATTTTCTCCTTCTTAATTAAGTTGCTCAAAATCGAAAACAGCCGGTTTGCGGTTATTAAAAACGCATATGGAACCAAACAGGGAGTAGAATCCCGCAATCCTTAATGCATAAGTAGCAGCAAATTCACGCCGGAAAAGCAACTCTTTCTTAGCCATTTTTGTGTTCCATTTCGTTCGCTAATGTTGTTATAATGAAGGAGGGCTACAAAACAACTGCCACTCTACCTGCCTCCATAAATTATGGAGTGGGTCGCAGCCCTTAATGTTGCGCCCCTTTTTGCGCAAAGTTGACTGCCGTGCAGCTGGAGGATAGAGATTTATTTCCATGGTAAATGGACGAAAACCTGTTGGACGTGCTGCTGTTTTTGCTCCACTTAAACTGGTTAAGTGCACAAGTTAAGACTGGGGTTGGTAGATCGGTGCATGGTCCATTTTTCATCGGCTCACTCCAGTAGTTCCTGCCCGAATGGCTTTTAGTTGGCCTGAAAACTGCTAAAATTACGCCCAAAAAAACCCTGTTAAAACGTATTTGCAATTAAGGCCAAGGCGAGTTTAGCAAATCCATATCGCTGTTAGCGCGCATAAATAAATTGAAATCTATCATTTATTAAAGCGTTGACATGGAAAATTCGCTCTATAGATCCTGCAATGCGGCCATAAAAAGCCGAAGAAACTGCTTCAACAAATTGAATGATAGTGTTTTACATGCACGAAGATGACGTAAAATTTATTTCAGCCCCCGAGTTGTATTTTGTCACGAACTATCGTAAAGCAGGAAAATTTAAAAACTTCACCAGGAATATTCGCTCAGGCTCACTTTTACGGCCCA